CAGCCTGCCCAAGGTCACACAGAAGAGTGGGACAGGTTGGCTCCATCTTGGGGCTGATAGACTCCAGACCTTGCAATTTAGGCCATTACTTCCTCAGGTGGCTCTGCTTACGTCTTGGGACTTCAGAAATATCCACATTTGAGAGAAACAATGCTTTTCTATTTCTTTCTCTGCATAGCGAAGGCTCTTCTATCCTTTAAGGCTCAGTTCAAATCTTCGAGAAACTTTCCCTAAATGCTCAGAACCCACGGCCTGGTATGCAACTATTCATTGGATTTATAGCTACGAGAACAGATTTCCAGCACTGCTCTCCCTCTTACAGGCTGTGACCTTGGCCATGGCCTTTAACCTCTCTGGGCCTGTGCCTGCCTTTCCGGCACGGGGCAGATATCCCAGGGTTGCAGGAGGGAGATAATACTGCTGAGGGTGCGTGGGAACTGTGAAATGCTACAAAAAAGGGAGTTATGCTCTTCTCCTCTTCCCCCTTGGCACATTCTATGGCTTCTTCTTTGTTTCCCACTTTGGGTCATTCTCTTGGCACTTTCCATTGTGCCTGGTGGCAGACACCTCATCTTTCCCTCTTCTGGGACCCCACTTTGCAGCTGGTGATTTCTCTCAACCTCCCTGAGAAGCAGCTGGCTGGTTCCTCCGTTCTCAGGTGGGTAAGATGAGGCTCAGAGGGGGAAAGCCACTTGCCTGAGGTTTCAAAGCCAAGGGGTGGCAGAACTGGGACCTGGAGACGGGTCAACCCACCCGGGCTGAGCTGGGAGTTGCTTCCACCAATTCCTGGTCTGGGTGGAGGGATGGTTGGTCCGCCCAGAAAGGTGAGTGAGCTAAAGACAAAAGTGGGGTTCCCAGCCTCTCTCGAGCCCTTGGATCTCGGACCAGACCAGACATATCCCCTCCTCTCCATGCCTCAGCTTCCTCAGTCCCTCGGAATGCTGGGTAGGATGGAGTGGGTGCACTGGGGCAGTGGGTGCTTAATGCACTCGGTAGATGTTAACTCGAACAGTCCCCTTACCTGCACCCCCTGAGTTAGGAATTCTGTATTTGAGAAGGGAGGCATGGGCCATACACCCTGAATGACTGCCCAGGGGGGTCTGGGAACCAAATACATTAGCTTTCCTGCTGTGAAACTTGTGAAAAATCCCAGAAGGGGGATAATTAGGAACAAGCAGAGCCTCACATAGGGCAGGGTGG